GTCATCCGCAGTTTTAGCTTCGACTAAATGTGAGTCAAATCCACGACCGTCTTTCTGAATACTTCTAAATTCAGCTCATTTTGCACAACCCTTCATCGCATTAACTGTGCCGATCCCAGCACCTCTTTGCTTCGAATGGTTTGTAATGTTCCTGCCGCTCGATGATTTCGTCTTTTTCATGGACGTCATATAATGATGGTCAAACGGGTTCTCCTGACAGTCTTTGAGATGGCCGAGTTAAGCCGTTTTCAAATGATTGTAAGAACATACTGACGAAAAAGATAGAGCCGGATAAATGCCGAATTTCTATTCACCCCAATATTGATCAACTAATGAAGTTAATGAAACACTGACAAATTCTTTGGCAATGTAGCCTATTTCAGAACCGTTTTCTTCATAAAACTGGTCCGACTGCCAATGAAAACAAGTCGGGCTGAATCATTCATAAGTAGTGAGTATCCTAACCTAGGGCAAAAGATCATATTTAAGACCCATGTGAATGCTGCATATTTGATAATTCAGAACAATGTATTCTTCATTTATGATTTGGTGACGATGCTATAAAATCAGTACTGGAAGCAATTAGGATCTTCTGCCTCTTGAATGCCATCAGTGTGATCATGGTGTTGATTGGTTTATTTATTCCTATTCATAGCATAATAAAAAAATTCCGACGCTGTGCCTATTTTCTGGGGATATCGTTAAGAAAGCAAATGAGATCGAATTCTACATTTTTGGCGACTTAATTTACTGACCAATTCACAGGGCGAACGAGTGGGGCGATTGATGGCGTTTAAAATATTTGTTCAATTGAAAATTTTTCAACCGCATTTGTAGAAACTTTAAATAAAAACGTAGATTCTGATACTACGGAAAATTCTTTGCACGTTGATATTCTTTTTGTGCTTTCAACAAATCATACGCATGACAAAAATGAACGCGAAAAGCGAGTGCGTTACAAAATTTTGTTCCGGATTCTGCAGCATCACAAAAGAGTGATTTATAATCGGCGACGAATAGTTGTCACAGGAGGTTTGTGTTTTCGAATGACTGCAAACACTGCAATGAAAATTTTCTGCCGTTGAGGGAGTGGCATCGATTTGAAAATTTGTTCCCGTCTAACATATAAGTACCTGCAAATCTTCAAGACGATGATGAAAAGTTAAATAAGGTTTCTTTCTTAGACAGTGATTAACACTTAGTGCCTCCCCTTGCACTAATTAACTGTATGGAAATTTTCAGCCTAAAATGTCTGCAAAATAAAGCTTAGGATTTTGTCATTCTTGTCTGCCAAAAAATGCACCCTTCACCCTTCACGTTTTGAATGTCTATGTAATCCTCTTCTGAGGGTCACTTTCGCTAACAAATGCAGGAGTTTCTTGAACCCGCTCTATCGGCTTCTTTTACTATGTCGAGTTCACTGGCGTCTCAAATTATGCTCAAAGCTTCATCGATTTTGCACAAAAATCGTCGGTACAAATTGTTCAATCGAAGAAGTTGGCGGAACATTCAAGTAGAGATTTACTAGTTTCTAAGTCGACTTGTGGTTGTTTGTACTCTCGCGAAACTTCAATGAGTCTTGTGATCGTGTGGATGTGGTCCATGGTACTAAATCCTTTCCTGAACCCTGCTTGTTCGCATGGCTGTCCTTCGTCCAGTGTTCTGTCAATCCTGTTCAGGATGACTCGAGTAAAGAGTTTATAGACAACGGACAGCAAGCAGATTGGGCGATAATTGCCTATGTCGTGAAGGTCTCCCTTTTTGAACAACAATACGGTCTTGCTGGTTTTCCATTGAATAGGGACCTTGCATTCTGACAGGTAGCGAGTGAAGAGCCGAGCCAGGGTGTTGATGAGAACTGGCGGCAGGTTCTTCAGGTGTTCTGGTCTAATCCTGTCAGGACCGGGTGTTGTTCTATTTTTCACCGACGATATAACATGTCGGATTTCGGAAGGAAGGACCGGTGGAACGACATATTCGTCCTCTTTCAATTTATATGACGGTAAGAGAACATGGTTAGCGAAGAGATCCGAGTAGTACTGGTGGATGATTTTCTCCATAGCCCTTCTGGAAGCTGTAAGTGTCCCGTCAGGGTATCGGAGTGCAATCATCTTGGTCTTATAGTTGGCGAAGCCTCGCTGGGCTTTGCGAATGCTCTTCCCAGCTTCTGCAGCTTCTGCCATAACTGCTGCTCTTCTCTCTTTAAGGTCTTCTTTTATCGCTTCTCTGCATCGTTTCGCAAGTTCGGACGTAAGGTTTCGGTTGCCTGCGGCTCGTGCGATTCCACGTTGACGTATCAGCTCGGAGTGTCTGCGGAGACAAGCGTCTCTTCGTGACTCTGTCTCACTTTTATCGATCTGAAAAAAGCCTTTGACTCAGTGGAAACAGAAGCGGTTATAGAGGCTCTGGATAACCAGGGCGTCCCTACTCGGTACATAATGATCCTTCGTGAGTTTATAAAGATTTCACGACCAGAATATCTCCATTCTACAACAATATCACCATTGACGTAAGAAGAGGGGTTCGACAAGGCGATACAGTATCGCCAAAACTATTCACTGCCACCCTACAAAACGTCATGCGAACATTAGAATGGGACGAAATGGGAATGAAAATTGACGGTCGACAATTAAACCATCTTCGCTTTGCTGACGATATCGCTCTCATAACACCAAACATCAGCCAAGCGGAACGAATGTTGACTGATTTCGATAACGCCTGTGGAAAGATCGGTCTTCAACTGAATCTAACGAAAACAATGTTCATGAGGAACGGATGGGTTTCTAATGCCCCATTCACGCTCAACGGAACGACAATTTCCGAATGCTCCAGTTACATCTATCTAGGTCGTGAAATCAACATGATGAACGACCTAGCCCCAGAGTTGAGCAGGAGGAAACGAGCGGCTTGGGGAACGTTTAAGAGCATCGAAGATGTAGTGAAGAGGACAAAGAACATCCGACTCCGTGCCCACCTTTTCGACTCGACAATTATCCCTGCCCTAACGTATGCAGCAGAAACCTGGTCGCTACGTAAGCAGGATGAAAGATCACTTGCCGTTATCGAACGCGCAGTCGAAAGGTCGATGCTAGGAGTATCTCGTATTTCGCAAATGAGACAAAGGATCCGAACTTCCGACCTACGTCAACGATCGAAAATCAGAGACGCCGTTCTACACGCCAGGATATCGAAAATAAGGTGGGCCGGACACGTGATGCGCTTCAACGACAACCGATGGACGAGAGCCGTTACCGACTGGATTCCTCGGGACGTCAAGCGCTCTAAAGGAAGACCACTGACCCGTTGGTCCGATTTCTTCACAAAAGCGATGGAAGAAAGATATGATGCTCAGCGAATTCCTAGAGCAAGGAGGACCCACTGGGCTACTCTTGCACGCGATAGGGAAAAATGGAAGAGTTGCTGGTACCCGCTCGAGTCACTCGACGATCAACGGGACGACAGGTGATACAGGTGATACAGGTGAAGTCGACTTGTGAAAAGTGAATTCATGCTGTCTTCACATTGATGTAATTTGCTATCAGAAAGTAAGTTGCGGCGTTCTATCATCCTTGAACTAATTTAGATTTTCATTCCCTTCCCCACGACAACATTTCGATAATTTTTTTCTCCATGATAGAATGACACGTGAGATGTTCTCAAAATCTATACCCATTTTCAGGACTGATATATCACATTAAGTAAGTTTTCGCTCATGGTTATTTCAAGACGGACTATAAAACACCATTGAACCTTCATCTCAGCTCTAATCCCGTCAAAAGCAACATGAAAAATATGTGAAATGTTTAGTACCGCCCTATTTACCATATTTTTCCGAAATTACGTATGGCATCACGTGTTTCCGTTTCAGTCTTCTGAGCTCCATTTGCTTCGAGAATTGTTGAACTCCGCGTTGTGCACTTTTTCGCCATCGACTGATCTCAAATAAATCAAAACATGTGGAAATGGAGCAGTACTACAAATTTGATTCCCGCGAGCTCCCCGACTTTTTGTTGATATGGTAATTCTTTGATAATGAAACCTATTAGAGCTAAAGGACCCTCATTGAAGAGAACTTATTCTTTTCGTCTAAGGATGTTTTCGGCATCAGCCAGATTTTTCATTGCTAAACGTGTTTGCGAATGATTTTCCAAAAAATTAGAAACCGTGCTGAATATGATCACGAATCTAATGCGATTTCTGAACTTAGGCTTTCAACATTTGCAAGTAAATCTGCAGGTAACATATGCGCATATAATGCATTTCAAGCATGAATATGCCTAAAACTCAGCCATTAGTGGTTAAAAGAAAAACTGTAAACTCACCTACGTTTTCGATGGAGCTGGGCAATATCACCTTTTCTCCCGTTGAAAATGTCGATGATTTTTCCTGAAAATGATATTAAAGAATATTAACATCACATGATTCTAAAAGGTCAGTGTTTTTATAGCTACTATCTCCGAGGACATGATAGTGAGAGCGCTTTAGACAAATGGAAACAATGAGTTTTATAGCTTTTATGATTTCAATCTAAAATGTCATAACCTCATTTAATTGCTTTACAACCTCAGCACTCTCTCTCTCTCTCTCTCTCTACCGTACTCACCCTTGCCAGTGCCAGCTCAACGACACTCAGGAAGGCGAGCACGTGCCATATTTGAGCGAAGTCGCCATTTTGGCGTTGCTGAAAGGAAATTGTTTGTTTCAATTCAATTATCTAAAAATTTGACTCGAGTAAAATGGACCCATAGAAATCTCGACGCAACACCATGTTAGCAAAGCTTGTCGAGAGTTTAATTTAGTTAGTGATAACATTTTGTATCGAAAAGATCAAGATATTTATTGTAGTCCTGAATGCATATTCTCAAATTGGAATGCATTAGCTGCTTCTAAACGAATGCGTTATATGAATTACTCTAAAACTCTAGCATTTTTACTGCTTTTTTCGCAGTGTTATGATGTTACATATATACCTAAGAGAATTTAGTGGTGAGCAGAAAACACGCCTCAGTCGGGAGTCGAACCCGGGTTTCATTCATACCAGCGACGCCTGCTACGACCACTGTACCACGGAGGCCACATTCGCACGACCACTCATTCTTCAATATCTCTGTAATAGATGTCAGCCATCAACCTTTAATAGGTATAGTTATGCTAGTTATTTTTATAGTCTATTTTTGATAGCTATGTGATTTCGCTTTATAAACTCAGTTGAGATGCTGAAGAATGAGTGGTGACGTAAATGTGCCTCGATGTGTAGTGGTAGTAGCAGGCGTCCCGGTATGGGCGAAAGCCAGCTGAGGCCGTGTTTTTGCGCCACTCAAATCTCTTAGGTATATTTGAATTACTTCACTTAGTCTACTTTTGAAGCTTCGAAACTAAGGGGGTGAGGGTCATAGGAGACAACGGTCCAATGTTGTCGATGGTCGATTGTATAGGAGAACGTTGTCGAATCTAAGGAACTGCTATTAAATACGCTACTGCTTCTGTTTGAGCAACAATTTAATATCTAAAAATGCCAAAAGCATATGAAGTCAATTAAAGAGCAAGTTCATTACGTCCTCCTACACGATCCGTGTGCAATCATAAACTGATATGATCAAACCCTTCCAATGTCTTGGTGGTCGGTGTAACTAAATTTTATATTCCAATGGCGTCATTTCCCTCCTTGAGTTGTTCATTATAATTTTTGCATTCCTCTAGCATCCGTGAAGCGTAATCACCCACTTGAACGCACAATACTCAGTTCCCTCTATCAATCTCTTATCTACACTTTTTGGAAAAATGGGCAAAAGCTCAAATACGTCCAATCACTTGAGCTTCTACTGGATCACCACTTTGAGCTCTCATCTAAGATGTATAGAAATAAAGTCCAAAACTCAAATTAATAGATAAACATTTTATATCAGTTCATAGAGCGCAATAGTAGTTGCGATCGTAAACGAACATCCACGAAAATATTTCTAGGTGGAAATTTTTTACTCCAACTTTCGGCAGATTAGGTGTGTTAGCACAGTATTCGAATGCTCACAAATATTATTTTTGGACATTTCGCGTACTCATTGCTTTACGCTTCGCTCGAATCGTTCCATTCTTGGTGCGAGGTTACATACGAATGCACTAATCGATTTTTTTTTGTGAAAATATGAGGTGTGTTCTCCGCAAAATTTATCACTGTGTAGTACTTACTCAGAACTTGGTGCTTGAGCGGCCTAAATGCATTAGTCACTATTACTGAATCTTACAAACAACACAATTCTCTATGCAAAGTACTCTAATGGTAAAAGCAGATCATTTACTGGCGTCTAGAAACGAAATGTATGTGCTCCAGGGACTAGCGACTGACACATGCATTAGTTCACACTTATATGTCGTATCCTTTCCACACAGAAACGTTTTTTCGTTCCCGCCACTGAATGTTGCTTTATTAACGAAATTCCAGCTGTAAGTCGGATGTAGACACATAGTAACAATCCATCACATGTGTTAAGGAGACTGTTGACTTTCTCCTATAGAGAAATTACATTAAGCACACATATTTCCATGAAAGCTAGTCCAAAGATATTGTTTCAAACAATGTACATAATGGAAAAGGGGAAAATGTTTGGGCCTGGTGAAGCACAAAAGGAATAATTTGTTAGCTATATTTTATTTACTGATTTTTCTATTTCATTTCATGCTGTAGAACAGTCTTATTGTCTTACAAGCATAATTTGGAGCTTTTTGTTACCAAAAATCGTAGCCATGACTGGCCTTTCTTCAGCAAATGTCGTGATAAAGTTGTTTGCATTGCACAGTAGCAGTGACGTGATTGATACCGAAGTGCTGCATAGGTCTTTGTCTAAAGCTTTTTGTTAACGAGGCATTCTGCATGCTTGTATGTATACATGTCATCCAAAGATGTGCTCATAAAATGACCTTAAATTTAAGGAATGATTTGTTATGCAATGTGAATATGTAACAAGTACTACTGAATGGTGGTCATCCGCGCGTTCAAGCCAGAGAGGCGAAAAATTCCATTGGTAATTTTTTTACGGTTACAAGTTGATGGAGTTGGTGAAGTTCTGATCAATGCCTTTTTTATGAGATACTTAATCTAAATGTCGCTCAGTGCGCACTAGCAATATAACGTAAATGTTTACCGATCAATGGAGTTATTTTTTCTGTTCCGAGGGCTAATAATATGAACCCCATAAGCTTGAGGCCTTCTTCATCAGAATCACTTTTCGACCAAGAACACTCAAAAGTCATTTAAGTGCAACGGTAGTGCACTGCATTTCTTCTGCATTAGAAATTTTGTCAAGATGTTCTCGTTTTTATGTTGGAAAAAACCTGGCAATATGTGCGCGTCGGCACCACAAAGCAGTAGAAAAGCGCACTATTTTAACCCACTTCGGCGATAGTTCGTCATCTCTCGTCAGTAGTAATGAATGTTTTTGAAAACGATGTATTTTACTCGTCGATAGGCTTTTATGTACGCTTTTATGCATAAATTTCGGTGAATGGGTCATCAAAATGACTTAAAATTTTCGCCTTTGTAGCAAACTTTTTCTCTTTGAAAGTGTAAAATCGAACTAAACAGTGGAATGATAGTGCTAAGCACCCCGTCACCACGCCTTTACTGACTACCGAATACCAAATAAGCACAGACTTTTCTGCATATAAACTTCCCTTTAGATTTTTTTATTCACTTCACCGGTCCCAGTTCTTTTTTCTTTTGTTTAGTTTATTATTCACCGAATTTATTTATTTTGACTTCAGAGTAAAAGTATACATTAGTCTGCCGTTCTACTTTTATTACTGCAGAGATCTCCGAAAGCTATCACATCTTCGCCACCGAGAAGAACATGCATCAATAGCGAAATCTGATGGACTGGCCATTTGGCGGGTGGAGTCCACTAGAACATACCCGTTCCCGAGGGCGACCACCTACACGTTGGGCGGACGTAATCACTGAAAGAATAAATTAGCTGTATCCGTATCTGTGCTCGCATCAGCTGTAATCACACCTGCCGGTAATCCATAGATCACAGCATGAAACTTGCGTCAACTGCCATGCTCGAAGCAAATCACTACCGTGGACGACAATCGCAAGATGAAGAGACGAATGGAAAAAGTGTTGGGGTTCGCACAATTTGTCAAGGAGGACCGATCAAGTATTCAAGTAAGTATTGCGGTGAAACTCAAATGAAATGTGGTGTCAATGTATGTTATCAAGTATGTCCTTACTTCTTTCGCGAATACTTATGACTACAAAGAATGTGCCCTCGTCCACTTTTAGAACATTGTACATAGTCAACACTCCAATCGGATTACTTTCAAACTGTACAAATGCCGCATCTCTTTTCTTTAGTGATACTTTTCAAGATCGACTTTCTCATTTTCATAAAGAGACCCATACCATTGAAAGTTCTTTGAGTAAAAAACTTCATTTTCACCCAACGATGTTTTTTATGTAAGGAGAAACATTTTGGGAATGATTATTCAGTCTGCTGCTACTAATAGTTATTTTTCACAATAGACATTCCATTGTCTCCCACTTTGTTTTCCAAGTCAAGCTGCAAGCAGATCTGCAGGACTGCATACGGGATGCTTCCAAGTGCTCTTTCTCCACAAGATCAAGCGTTAAATGCAAGTCCGTTTCATCTTAAAGATTAGTTTAACAAGAAAGAAAATGATGGTTATGTGATGACAGTATCTTAGTTGAAATCGTTTCCTCATCTGTCTTCCTCAAGATATTTCCAAGGAACGATGTCGTGTAAAAACGAAGGCATGAACGAATGTATCGCCGATACCCCCTGTCAGTGAAGGAGTTGTATGTTGACCGTGCAGCCGTAGAAGTGAACTTCCTATCAGCAAGTCAGCATTCATTAGATGTGTGAATAGCAGGTTGTGACTAGATCACTGCATAGTTTCTTCCAATCTTCCACTTCTCGTATACGCAGATTCTTTGCTCAGTGCAGTTATTTGCTCATTCAGGTGGTGTCACAATTTGCTCGATTCTCTTTTTCAGACTAACAAATCTAACTGTGATGTACAGCTCTCACATGGAATGTTAGTTTTCTTTACTGATAAGATGTTTTTTACAGGTATTTTTTCAATAAAGTTCATAGAAATACTTTATCTCTTGTCCAACGGCTTCGCTGTATTCTATCAATTAGCGAATTCATTAGTGTAGTTCATCAAAAGGTCCAATGTAATTGATTAGCTCTTACATGTCACTTGAAACTAAGTAAGCATAGCTACATATAGCTGTCGGCGAATTTCAAGCCATTTAACTTTATCTGGGGCGCTGCTACCCTTGGTCAGCTTTATCGTAGGTGAACACAAAACAAATTTCGACTTCTATCGATTATGTCGTAAGCTACTAGAACAAAGTCATCACAGCGTTCTCATGACTCAATCCCACATGACCCACGAACTGTGAATAATAAAAATCATAAAAATATGGTAATTTGCTCATAGGCATTACGTGAATATGATCCTTGTGTAGCCCAAACATCGAAGCAAATCGAAGATTCACTGACAGCAACTGACGAGAAATTCAACGAAAAATGTTTCTTTTTTAGAAGTGAACAATTCCAGTATAGGAAACGTATGAGCGTTAGGGCCAGTTCCAAAACATATTCAACGTGAGTAACTTCCAACGCCCAGATAAAACGATTTCTCGCCTTTTTCTACCCGCAACATTTTTATTGAGATGAGTACAGCCGTCACTGCGGTTCGCAGTAGCAAGGTGTCTTACTGTTGCTTTAGCTCACTTTCAATACACAGATGCTTTATATACTAATGGTGTGGGATTCCACAAATAAGGATAACTAGGTTCTCAAAAAGGCGATCAGTTCATTTGGGGTGTAAGCATGAAACGGTTACTGCCGCAGATTCAAGTTGACAGTAGTGCTCACTTGCTTAGTCAACTTTCCAGATATCGGAGAAACTGGGTGTACCACGGTACCTGAGGATTTGACAAATTACAGCCGGCTCAAAAATGATACCACTGATTTTTTGATAGCCAGTCTCATTTTCCTTCTTGTGAAAAGGTATCCAATCTTTGTCCAGCGAATGGTTGCAAAACAT